ATGTTTGTCGACATGAGCCACAGTAGCTAACTGTTAGTGATGTTGGTCGACATGAGTCACATTAGCTAACTATTAATGATGTTTGTCGACATGAGTCACATTAGCTAACTATTAATGATGTTTGTCGACATGAGTCACATTAGCTAACTGTTAGTGATGTTGGTCGGCATTAGCTACATTAGCCAACTGTTAGTGATAGTAGGAGTCTCTTAGTGACATTGGCCAAGCTTAATTGGCAACCTTAGCTGACTGTTAACGACATCAGCTAGCTCATAGCAACTTCAGCCAATTGTTGGCGACAGAAGCAATATTAGCCAAGTGTTAGCAGCATTAGCCATCTCTGAGGATTCGCAGTCAACTGTTCGTGACTTATGCCTGCTGTTAGCAACATTATCTAACAGTTTTTGGTTTTACGCGACTGTGTGCAATGCTAGCTAGCCAGTGCCAATGTCACCCGACTGTTGCTAATGTAGACGATTATCAGTAACTGTAACTTAGACTGTATATGAAAGAAATTAGGAACATTAGCCTAGTTAACTGTTAGAGACATTAGCTAGCTATTAACAATGTTAGCTGTTACAATATAGAATAAAAATACTTTCTTAATCCCCAAGGGGAAATTTGGTTGTTACAGCACAAAGATAAAGTTACCACCACCATAAATACCGATAAATAAGCAAAAATAAACAATAAAGACAAATAAGATGCAAAATGTACAGTAAGTGTAATAACTGACTGAACTGTGTGTGTTTTGTAGGTTTGCTTGTGTTTGTGGTTGGTATGATCATCAACATCCACAGCGACCACATCCTGCGCCGCCTCAGAAAACCTGGAGAGATCGTGTACAGGATCCCCCACGGTACCGCAGACCCACATCCTGATCCACACAGAACCCAACACATAGTCCACTGATTGGTCAGAAGGTTCCTGCTCACCTGCTGCTCCTACTGTCTTTTAGGGGGAATGTTTGAGTTTGTTTCGGGGGCCAACTTCTTCGGTGAGATCGTACAGTGGTGTGGTTACGCCGTGGCGGTGAGCTCTTTGCCAGCCTTCGCCTTCGCCTTCTTCACCGCCTGCTCCATCGGGCCCAGAGCCTACCAGCATCACAGGTACCTTTAGAACCCGATCTACACCAGCATGGATTCAGAATCACCCGATATATTATTTTAGTTTTTAGTCAGTTTTGAACAAAAACTCAAATTTCTACAAAAAGTCAATAATGATTCTTTATTTCTAACAACCCCTGATGTGTTCGCTCACTGGGAACTCTGGGCTTTGTTGGGTCTCTCCATGTGAAATATATTAACCGTAGTATTTACCTTCATTATGTTTACATATCAAATAATATGTGTGATATTAACAGTAATAGTTCACTTAGTCAGTTAAACTGGTATTCTACATAATGTTATAAGGCCCTAGCCGTAATATTTAAGCTTGTTGGGTTAATTCATAATGCTAAAGCTAATCTCAGCTCAGCTGGAAAATACTTTGTGTTGACGCGTGTTAAATGTACGACATAAGTAATGTTGATTTCACTTAAATAAAATAACTAACAGTCACTCGGCATCACTAATAGTCAGTTAATGTTGCTAACAGCTAGTTAATGTCATTAATAATCAGCTAATGTTGCTAACAGCTAGTTAATGTCATTAATAATCAGCTAATGTTGCTAACAGCTAGTTAATGTCATTAATAATCAGCTAATGTTGCTAACTTGAGTTCCTTTGGGTGACTAACAGTTGTTCATATTAAGCATTAATCTGCAGGAGTTTCTTTTATTGATTTATTTATTGCAAATACCTTTCAAAGAGCAGTTAGATCTCCTGCGATGCCTTCGTCCTGTTTTCAGAGCTCATGATGAAGAAAAGCTGCCGTGTTGTCTGTCTTGCTTTGCAGAGACTACCAGCGCAGGTTCGAGGACTATCCTCGCTGCAGAAGGGCTCTGATCCCGTTCCTCCTCTGACCAGCGTCTCTGTTATTACTGCTCATATTTTCCAATGTGCAGCAAAGAGTGATGGAACCAGTGGAAATAAAGACGGCATGAGACAGACGATGTGTTCGTGGTCATTTCAGCGTCCACTGCGGGGAGTCGGACCTGTTGTCTGTCTGCTGGTTCATATCCAAGCCTGATCCTGGACTTACAGTCTGACGAGGGCCACATACGCACAAAAGCAGCCAATTCCTCCTTTTTTATGCATTTTGACAAGTAGAATAAATGTTTTACATGTTATAAAATGTGTTTCTAAGACTCTTTGGTGCAGATTTCTGTATTCTGAAGCCTTTGTTCAGGTTTTAAACGACATTTTATTTCTAAAAACATGTTTTTTCTCTCCGACTGCTGACAGTATTTTAAATGATAAAAAGAAAAACGTAAATCTCTTCCATGAAAACCTTTGACTCCAATATGTGAATAAAATGAAGGAGAAAAAAAGTTTTTTGAAACTGATTTGTCCAAAGTTCACATTTCTTCTCCAGAAACTAAAGGAAGTTTGGTCACATTTAGATATTTAACGCATTTCAGAAGTAAAACCTAAACTCCTAAAAACCTGTAAGACACACATGATTGTATTAATGTCCGCACTAAGCTGGAGGACTTCATCTACACCCGCCAGCCAACACGGCTCCTCTGATGTCATCATAGAGCTACCTCACATGCTTTTATTTTGAAGCTGCGTGACGTTAGTACGTCGGAAGAGAGTGACGCAAACATCCACAACAAACATGGCGGACGGTGAGTTAATTGTTGACCATTGATCTCGTTTCTAGCGTTGTTATTGGAATTTAGTTTTCTTTTCTCTGCGTGTTCGCGGTTCGGTGCCGTGATTCGGTGCCCCGTTCGATCCGTTCAAGTTCTGGTTCCGCCGCCGGTGCGTGTTATTCAGCGCACACAAGGCGGTAACGTGATGCTAAGCTAACTTACCGCCGTTTCCAAAGCAGCACTGAAAGAAACGCTGTAGTTCAGCAAAACCCAGCAGAGATTCGGTTCCGTTCACGTTCACACCGAGACAAGAACCGGAATAAAGCCGCTAGAACAGAACTTTACCTCCAGTTGAAAGCAGCAGCAGAGTTCGGTAGAGTCCTCGGAACCAGCTCAGTTCAGACGTCTGCACTGACGGGAGCGAAAGATCAGCTGGATCCTCCATCACCGGATAGTTGATACGGGTCAGACACGAACCTGCAGCCAGTCGGTACCACAGTCCGGTAACAGAGAACCTGCAGTCTCTCGGTACCACAGTCCGGTACCA